GTATATACATACTAGTAGACCTCGCTTTACTTTTACTGCTGCAATACTAACCCATATTTTTCCTTTATCTAACTTCTAATTCTAGAAATTGTCAAATTTTCCTCAAAAAGCTTCTACTATACTATGCTATGCTACTAGCATATTGACTAGCAAACGGAAAAGTTAATTTAAATTTTGTTTGTTGATAAACACGAAAGTTTTTCATTTATTTTCGTTGGTGTTCTCGAAACCAATTTTTTAATTTCGAATAGAAACACCACATTTCCTTATTTTCCGTGAAAAATAAATTTTTAGATTTATAGGCATTTTCTTTCTGTTATTTACATTTAATTAATAGGTATAAAGAATATCACAGTTTTTACAACTTTAATGCAAACTACCAAAAGCTTCATTGAAATTTTCTTGATGCCATCTTTAATTCCTAACCAAAATTCTAATTTTAGGCATCTTCATTCAGAATAACAGAACCAAAACGTATTCCTCCTTATCGTCATCCTTTGATAGTCCTTGTGAATAATTTGGCACTTAATTTGGACATTTTGAAATTTCCAAACAATAAATTTCCTTTTCTTTGATGCTCGACAAGGATAGCAAGAACCGAGTATATCGGATCGATAGTATAAAATAATTTCAAAATTACAATCGATGAGTCACTATATGTCCACCACGAGGTTTAAATGAACCACCTCTTTCGGTTCTTCCAGATTCATGTGGTTTGCCTTCGGCCGAAGAGGTTGTGTAGTTCTGTTATTAGTTGTTATACTCAGTGTGACCGTTTCGCATTTCCATCAAACCACTAGTTGTCAATCGACTGTTAATCGATCTAGTTGATCAATAGCCATCCGCGGGCTACTATGAAGCTCACGATTTTCGAATGGTTTCAATCAAAAAATTTTTATTTCTTCAAAACGGTACGAATCATGTCTATTTAAACTCTTCTAAGTTAATTTACTGCCTAAAGGATAATAACGATCAACGAAGGACGACGTTTAGTTCGTAGAGGGATGAAAATAGTTGTGATCGGGTGTTTTAGTTTTCTTTTGCAAATAGTTGGGATGTCGCAAGAATTTTGTGTTGGGTGGACATTAAAATCCTGTCGCCTAAATTTGTTCTTATTTTACTTTTTTAAAGTTTTTTAGTTCTTATCCTAGTTGCAACTTTACAAAATTGATTTGTTGGAAATACTTTTGTTTTATTGGAAATCGCTTTTTGTAATGTTTCATAGCTTATGTCACGCTAGCTAACACATGCACTATTATAAAATAACCAAAGCTTTTGCTACTTAGGATTAGTAAAGAAAAATATTCACTTGAATAAAACTTAATAAACGGTTACTAATCGTGAAATATTTTTTGTACTACTACTACAATGTGATGTTACTTGTCTCTATTTTCATATTTTGAATCTACACAATGTCTTATTCTAACTGAGAACGTGTTTGAAAATTAGAAGTTGTTAACAGTAGATTTATAAAATACCAGTTTCGAAACCATATGTACCTTTTTAAAGTGATGAGCGCATTTTAATTTACGTAGTTGTTTTAGGGAATACCAACCATATTTAAGATTAAAAAATATAAAGTCTGTATTTTTAATACAAATCGTTGATTGAATGATAATTGTTCCTGCTTTAATAATATTTTTATTTTTTATAAGTCTACTATTTACATTCTTTTGCCATCAAATTGTTCAAATCAAAAAACTTATTGATCACATATTGATTGGCAACCAATATTTCTTTTCACAGCAATCCCTAAACTTTTGTTTCTTCATTTTTTATTAATCCATAATACTTTCAATTACAGCAAGTCCAGAGAAAAAAAAACAGTTCATTCTAATTCTTTTTTTTTTCAGTTTTTTAACACGTGCTATTTTTATGCAATTTGTCGTTCTTTTTAATTTCTGAATGTTGTCATTTTTAATCTTGGAAAATGCATACTAATTTGCACGTACATAGCGCTGAATGTTTAAAAGAAATTAACATTTTCAACGTAGGTATTATAATAATTACGTGGAATCGTGTTTTGTTTGGTTTCCAATGAGATTTCCAATAATAATAACTGAATTTGACGAGCGAGTGTAAATTCTTTACGTTTTTCTCTCTGCTTTGTTACCTTATTGAAGTAATAAAAGTAGTACGTTAAAGAACGTTGTAAAGGATCACCTGCATTTTACATATGTATCATTATCTTTTATTTATGTTAAATTGTTAACTGCAGATGTTTTAAAGAACAATAGATAAATTTAAATTCACTTGCCAAAGAATTATAAAACAATTGTATGATGGCAAAACTTACATTAATGCGTGTGTGATGAACACCTGGATTATTGTATGATAAAAAAACTGCAAGCTATTGTTTTTAAAAAGTTTAAGGTATTTTATTTACTTAACAAAAATTGCCACATCTCAGTATATCCTAGAAAATAATATTAAAATCCGATTTAATATAAAGAAGAATCATTTTTAGAACATTTTTTTACAAATGTGGCGTGAAATATCCCTTAATTTTAAATTATATCTAAAATTGTACCTGATCGATTCATGCGAGAATCCTGTTAACGTAGGAATCATTAATAATGCTGTAAATCTTATTTGTGTGCTTCGAATGTGATAAATATTTATGCATTTTCCAATTTATAATAATAACAATTAACTTTCTTTCAGGAATGTGTTTTTTTCCAATTTGAATTTTTCTCCTTTTTCCTTTTATTTATTTTTAACTTTAAAACAATGCTTGCCTAAGTGGGCTACAATGTTTTATTTTCAGGATGAGCCTCATAAAGAGGAAAAAAAGGGGTGGACAAAATTATTAATATTAGCGGGAATAACCACCACTTTTGGTTCATCCCTACCTGTGGGATATAATATTGGCGTAGTTAATGCTCCCGCTGATGTAAGTAGGACGAAGCAGGCAGAGAAAGATTCTTTTTTTCGCTTTCCCGTATTGCATGAAAGAAAATTAACTTCTTCATTTTACTTAAGTACCTAATACTTATTGTTTTTGTCCACCAGAAATTTTGTTGTGATCACCACTAGTATTATTTTGAGTCAGTACTTAATTAAAATGAATGAAGATGAATTTTTGGAAAGCATTTCATTCATTACTTCTTGACTTTGGTCAAAAACCGACTGCCTGTACATCGTTGGATTGTTTTGTTCTTGATTTTATCAGTTTTTTTGTCTTATTGATTACCTTGGTAACGTTTGTGTTAACTCGTGATGAGTTCATAAGGGTTGAATGTTTTCTTCTTTGTTTTCTTTTAACACAGTGTTGACCTAAACACTTTTGCTGTGTTAACAATTCGTGTTGTTCACGTGATAATTTTTGTTTGTGCTGATTAAGAAAATAATTCCCCAGTGGAAAACGCTTTCATTAAATCGGATTATTCAGCATCCAGGATTCGAAAAGATTGCGACAGGATTTCAAATCGAAATATTTTCCTATTATGTATATCAAAACAGCTGTAATAATTTTAAAGTGAAACAAAAAAAAAACCTCAAACAATACTCATGTGGACTTCTTCGAAATTTGTTACTATGTATTTTTAAACCGATCTTACAATAAGGAACAAATCAGAAGCTCAAGACAGAATAGTGGAATACGAATAGTGTTCTAAAATAAAACTTAATAAACAATAAAAAATGTGAAGTGATGTGTAAAAAAATTTCCTTAAATATAAACAATAAGTGCCAAGTGCTAATGTTTCAGTTGCTTGACTTTATGTATCGTTAAATGGTATTGGGTGATATTGTGATACTATGAAGTGTCAATTAATAAATGTTACTGTTAAGGGTGCAATGTGATAGTTAGCAAGTTGTGGCAATAGTGCTTGTGAAAACTTATTAGAATTTCATGACATCTTTATGTATGTATGTCGTTAAAAAAAAAAAGAACTGAATATTGACTACCATTAAAATTATTAGCTGTATTAGATGCTGGTTGAGTATGGTTGCTTTGTGCGGATATAATTTTACTGATTTTAATTGATTCGTTGTCTAACTGTTTAAATATCCGTACAAGGCAAACAATATTGCATACCACTAACCACTCAAAATTTTTAGGCAGGTATTTAGGAATGTTTTCAATACTTAAGTGGTCGATTTCGTGTGTGTTTTAGATAATAAAAAATTTCTGCAATGAAAGCATGTATACGAGGTATGGCGCCGTTTTATCGGACGCCCAAATGGAATTCTTGTGGTCAGCGATTGTGTCCATCTTTCTAGTTGGTGGATCAATTGGATCATTAACCGGTTCTTGGTTAGCGGACAATGTTGGACGAAAGGGTGCGATTGTCGCAAGTACTGTCTTGTTAATGGTCGCTGGAGTACTTTTTATGATCACTCAAGTATCTAATTCCGTCGAGACTCTTATTGCTGGAAGGCTTCTTGCTGGTCTTGCAGCTGGTAAGGCCTAGGGATTTTTGTAATATGAGTTTGATGAAATTCAATCTGTATTTTCAATATTATTTTACAATCTACAGCCTCCAACAACAAAGGGCAAGGTTCATAAAGCGTATTAAAGTCCTATGATGTAGTCATTCATTTTTATATAAATCACAATCCTTTAGTTATAATATTTATCCATATTAATAATCCTGAAAATTTTGGCAGATACAAGTTGCTATTTTCGTTGATTTACCTTTTGTATTTATATGAAAATTAAAATGCAAAATAAATTGACAACATGGGATTTCCACTATGCATAACGTAATTGTATTTTGTGAAAATATTATAATAATTTCAACGTTACGGAAAATTTTGCTATTTTTATAATAAAAGGATAAACATACGTTGAATTTACATAATAAATTTTGTACCTGCAATCAGTAGATTTAATTTAATTTAATCCGAATAATAATAAATAACAGATTAACCTTCGTAAGGACAGGTGAAAGTATACTAATATGAAAATGATAAAATATCCTATTTCAAACGACATCAGCAATGTCGAGAATTGTTAAAATTATTAAATTTAGCCATAAATTACTTCTAATTATGAGTTATATGTATCTATATATTAGTAAAAAAGAGTTTTTATTTTTTATCGCATTATACGAAATAATTTTAGGACTGGTAACATGTACAATTCCCATGTACTTGACTGAATTAGCCCCATTAGAATTACGAGGATCCATGGGAGTCTTGTGCCCTCTTGGTATAAACTGCGGGATATTCTTGGGACAAATAATATCTCTAAGACAAATACTAGGTGAGAAAGACACAAATTACATTTATAAAAACTAATTTTGAAATATTTTTCATTGGATTTATTTTGGTCAAAAGATAGAGTAGGATGTAAAATTTAAATTCGTGTTTTCTATTTCAGGAACTGAAGAATTCTGGCCTTATCTATTAGGATTTTATACAATTTCAGTAGTTTTATCAGCAGTGGCGATACCGTTTTTGCCTGAGAGTCCGAAATATTTGCTATTTGTGAAAAAGCAGCCAGAGCAAGCTTTCCGACAGCTCGTTAAAATTAGGGGTGTTCCCGAAAAGTTATTGACTGACGAAATTCAAGAGATGCAACTCGCTTCTCAACAAACTGACGATGAAGATGATGTCTGGAACATCCTTAGGGTTCTTACTGATTCCAGCCTCTTGTTACCTTTACTATTAGTGATGTTTTTGCAAGCTGGTCAACAGTTTAGTGGTATAAATGCGGTAAGTGGATACTTAGGTATTATTTTCAATTATTTTAATCCCATATTTTGTATCTTACTTTTACGCTATTTATTTATTTTGGTGTTTCAGGTATTTTACTACTCTGTGTCAATTTTCAAGACTGCAGGATTAGACGAATTAAATAGTCAATTAGCATCGATTGGAGCTGGTTCTATCAATCTGCTTATGGCTATCATATCTATTCCTTTAATGGCCAAATGCAACAGGCGTTCTGTTCTTCAGCTGAGCTGCTTTACTGCCTCCTTTTGCCTTTTAATCTTAGGACTAACAATAACGTACATCGTAAGTATTACTTTGTAATATTTTCAATGTTTTGTTTTGTATTTCTAACCCCATAATTTAACAAAAAAAGATATGAACAAAGACGTTTCTTCCTTATCTCCCAAATCAATTCAAAATAGTCACCAGTAACTCGCACCAACAGAGAGTTTTGTAAATTTTATTGGAAATAAATATTTAAATATTTTCAAAAAGTATTTAAACTGTTAAAAAACGTTTTTTTTTTAATGTACTAAAAATTTTGAAATTGTTTTGAATAAACTGATTAAAACCACTAACTAAAACATGCGTAAAAGAAATATGTGACAGGTTATATTTAAAATTTATTTACTCGATCCTTAACGAGAACAAAATAATAAAAATTAATAAGGAACTTTGCTTATAAAACGTTTGAGGAATAAATCAGGTCAACATTGGTTGATTTCTATTACTGAATAAAAAGCCAGTAGAAAAAATAATTATGTATATTTTAAAAAGTACATAACCAATTCCTAATAACGTTTATTTAAAGAGTTTCCCTTTCCAATATTTAGTTCGTAATTGATGAACCCATAATAATTAGGAAAATAATTTCAAATAAATACTTAGTAATTTCATAATTTAGGGGTCATTTAAATATTACTAAAGAGCCAAGGGAGATGGAGGGATCTTTGTTTTATTGCTTAATTTTGATGACATGGGGGCGAAAGGTCTGGATGGTGATTACGTCAGTAATATTTATTTATTTACTTTTTTTGATTTTTATGCAAAATTTGATCGATTCTTACTTGAACAAAAAGAAAGAATATATACCATTGTTTAAGTAAGCATAGGGAGGGAATAAGGACTTTGCATACTCTTGTGGACGAGGGGGATGGGGTTAAAAATTGATATAATTTTGCTTACGTAATACTTGAATGGTCCCTTATTTCGATTAGTTATCATAACATAAAGGGACTAAATTTGCTCCCAATACTAGCAAAAATGTTTTTTTCTTTAAAGGTCCTTACAAACGTATATTAAAAATTACTTATATTTTCAGGACTTATTCTCTTGGATGCCATATTTATGTATACTAGCAGTTCTTAGTTTTGTACTGTTTTACGGTGTTGGATTGGGTCCCATCCCGTATTTTATTGGATCCGAACTTTTCGAAGTTGGACCCCGACCAAGTGCTATGGCGTTAGGGAGCATGGCAAATTGGGGAGGCAACTTTATCGTCGGCATGTCTTTCCCCAGTCTTCAAACTGCTATAGGACCAGGATCCTTTTTGATCTTTGCCCTTATTACATTAGCTCTGTTTGTGTTTATAAGGTAAGTCACAAAACAATTCGCTTTTCTTAGGTGCTTTTACAACGAAGGTTAAGTTAGGGAAGCATTTATTATTTACTAATAAATATTAATTTAGTATACACTACATAAAGCAATTTAGACAACTTTTAGAAGTGAGTTAGTTTAATATGAAATATTAATCTGAAAATTCATTTTGAACCAACCAGAACATTGGTGTGTAAAGCCAAAGGTCCCGGGTTCGATTCCCGGCGGGGATGTGACAACAGCAACAATTTTTCCATCATTAATTTGAGGTAGCGTGTAGTGGGTAAAAAAAAAATTCAAAAATGAAATTTCAGATTAATATTTCATACATAAATTAACATTTTTAGTAAAGTAGAGTTTATTTATTCGTTGAGTTTCGTGTTACAAAACTTAAATTGTTTATCAATTAGAATCTACTTGCCCGAAACCAAGAACAGAGACCCTGGAGACATTGCATTATTATGCAAACATGGTCTTCGTTCTCGTGTCTTGGACACAGCATCCCAATCGTCCGATACCGTCGTCACCGTGCCTACGGACGATAACTCCGTTTGACCAATCATTAATTCCTGTTGTTGCTCAATACAGAGATACCATGACGTTTTCTTATAAAGGGAAGACCGGTGTCTCCTCCTTCGTTTTCATCATCATGGCCACAACTCTTTCGTCATTTCTACACATTTAACAATAGACAATATAGATAATATTATTGATAATACAAACTTCGCTGCCATCGTTCGTTCTAGGAGGAATTTTTAAGCGCGCCTTTGAAACCATTTTCGAATCAAATAGGAGCTCCATTACCGTTAAAGTATTACTAAGTAATTAGTTATTTATTTATTGTTCTTTTTTGTACGTATTTATGAAATTTAGTGAATTTCGTCGTGGCCACATTCCTGTAGAATGTAGATGTTTAAATCATATATTTGCCCCTATTTGCTTCTTCTTCAACTGTGATCGTGAACAACCTTGCAACAGCGTGTTTCGGATAAACATAAACCAAAGTACAAAAATTTCGTCATACCAAAGACGTACTTTTAATCGGGGTTTAATCAGTAGGGGAATGTTCATAAAATACGTTCTCAAACAAGGGAGATGGTAAGGTACTGCTTGGAGTGACAAAATATGACAGGGGGAGAGGTGAGATCTAAGGAAATGTGACGTTCGCAGTTTTAATCTTTGTCTTAACTCAGCAGTTCTTAAAATTTTTATTAGGATAAAAAGTCATTCTCATTACTATTTTTAATCATAAGAAAACGTTTATAGGGAGGGAGGTTGCACTAGCTTTTATACCATAATATTTGTTAGGGGGGTAGCTGAACGTGTGGCTTAGCGTGACGAAGGGGAGGGGAGGGACCCAAATGGACGATCCCTAAAAGTCCTATGGGGGTAGTAAGTAAAGAAATAATTTAAACAATGACCCTGATACAAAAGATATTTGTAGTAAGTTTGTACGTAGGTACTTTTCGTAGAAAATTTCTATTCTAAATGCATCATTATGCAATTTTTAAGAGAAAACTAGCTGAATTGCAAAATTGTTCACATGCAAGTTTCAAAGGTGCCTAAATACGAGCTTAATCGCCTATTTGCATCTTATCTAATTGATTTTTTATACATGTACCTTTCTCTACCCTATTATTTAACTTAATTAGAGCATCATCGTATATAAAAATATAAGCATATCTTGAAGGCTTCTTTTAATTATGTATGAGTTATAAGTTGCAAAAATCAATTTTTGCTAGTTGCATTATAGTATTATGTAGTAAGTTTGATATATTATGTGTAAAACCCTTGTTAATAAACAAATAATAATTATATTAGACATTAAAATTAAAATCATGTTAAAGTAGGTATTTGTAGAATAATAAATTGTATTTGTAAGCTTTAGAGTCTGTAGTAGTGGTTTGTACTTATATAACTTACTGTATATACATAAGATTTTATTATATACAGGTGTGTTTAGAAAAATGAAACAAGTACTGGATTATTAATATCAATTATGTGTTTGGTCGTGTTGGAATAAGAAGTCTTTAATATTTTGCACCGATGCTGTGTTTAAGTTAATTTAAAATAAAATGTAAGTTGTTGACGATATTTTAACTCTACCTAATATCTGCCTGTCTTTTTGTAGCATAGGTGCCCAATTTTCTATTGAACTATCTGCTCAAATAAATTGTCTTCTCAAAAAAAAGAAACAAAAGACAAACCTGTTCACCCATCATCTTTAGGATTACATCCCTCTATAAGAAAAACGGAACCAATTGACCCTTGTATAACAAAACCTACATATGGCAAACTTGCAAAAATTTTACTGAGGAACAAGGAAGTCAATATTCTTTTTTTAAATTTTAGGTGCCATATTTTAAGTCCCTTCTATTTCCATACTTATTGAAATGAAAATATATGTGTATCAGAAAAAAGTAAAAAGCATATCTTCCCAAAAGGGAAAAGAACAAAAAGCTACATTAATTATCTTTATTTAATTTGAATTAAAGATTAAAATTGTTGATCTATCTACACTTGGAAAAAATAAAAGAAAACAATCGTCTAATTTATCATCTTTATTTATTTCAATTATTTATTATATCCAAGTACTCATCTTCAGAAGATGAAGAACTTTTTTTCTGTTTCAGCCACGAACTACGAACTACTTCGTTAATGGTAGCCCTTTTTTCAACCTCGGGCTGTAATAATCGCCTAAAATAGATTAGTAGTTGTAATTTCGAAATTGTTTAATGATTTTCTACTACATTCACCCCAGTAGTATCCTTAACTGAGAACTATTATTTTTCCATAAAGAAAAACCGACTAAAAGGATGTCACAATTTATTTGAGTTTTGATCATTTTTTTTATATCGCTGTCATCGAAAGGCATCGATGCAGTGACCAGTACATAAAGTATACAACCTAGAGCCCAAATATCATACATTTTGGGATCATAAGGTATCCCCTAAAACGCGAAGGAAAATTAGGACAAAAGAGTAAGTAAGTAAAAAGTTGGAATAAACTTTAGCAAAAAATGAGTATCTACCTGTAAAATTTCGGGAGCAGCGTAAGCAGCAGATCCACAAAATGTTTTTGACATATCGGTACCATTTTGAGAATCACAGTACCGCGCAAAACCAAAATCTGCTAATTTTATATGCTTTTTGGTAAATAAAAGTACATTTTCACATTTTAAATCCCTGTGTGCTATATGCAAACTGTGAAGATACTCCACTGCACTAATCAGTTGTCTACAAATACAGTTAAGGTGCTTTTCACAATAAAAAAATTATTTTGCAATTACTTAAACACATTTTATTTTGCTTTTAATCAGCGCAATAATTTAGACGAAGAGGGTAAATTGTTATACATAATTAAAAATAATATCGGAATACTTTAGCTATTTACCTAAAGTAAAATTTTGCTTTTTCTTCTGATAATGGTCCATGTTTTCTTATATATTCTAGCATATCACCATGTTCACAATAATCCATAAATATAAAAATTACTTCTTTTATCTCAAATACATTATGAACTTTAATTATGTGAGGATGATCAATTTTTTGTAATATACTAACAAAATAGAAATTACTAGTGTAGATTAATTAAATTTGTGCATTTTTAAAGTACCTTATTTCTCTTGGTAAAAATTTTTTCATAAAATCTTCCCCAGCAATAATTTTGTTAATTTTTTTACATGCCATTTTTTCAGATTTTTCTTTTGAAGTAAATTGCGCTAAACAAACTTTACTATACGTTCCCACACCAATTATTTTCCCAATAGAGTATCCCATGAATTTCAATATTTTATTAGTATCTGCAGACTAAACAATTGCTTTATCGAAAACTATTTTAAGTTTTAGCGCCTAATTTAATTTATATACCTGCGATTTAGATGATTTCTTTCTGGAGCTTTTATTAGTGTCCGTCATTTTTTGAACACTTTGGGAGCTGATAATTATTTTTCTAACAAATTTTACTGTGAAAATATATAAAAATACCAACGCATCGTTTTACCAATTTTGACAACTACTTTTCAACTTCGATTTGCAAATAATTTTTTAAAATGACATTTTTCTGATTCTTATTTATTTTTTCACAAAATTTCTACCAGGATATTGTCATTTAGAATATAAAGTTTTGCCAAATAGTAATAAAAAACAACATTTACAAATACCCATCAAGCACCAGGTAATAAAATATAATAATGAAATAAAGCAATTCAAATTTTTATTAGATAGGTCAAGTACAAGAATTTTTAAGAAAACTGAATGCACGTGACATCTTTCAACAACTTTAGCAAACTTTGCGTACGTTAAAAGGACAGGTTGTAAATTTACCTGCCTTTTCCACACCTTATTTTCTTTCTTTTTCTACTTATCATGAAAACATTTAGGAAAGACAAAAATAAAAAATAATTTGTTTATTAACGTTTGATTAATCACAGTTCAGAATGAAACACAGGTTGTTGAGGTAGTTTAAAAAGAATGTTTGTCTTGTTATTTTTAAATTTATGTGTTTATAATTTTCTGTAACAATTACAATGGAATTTTATCGCATCTTTTATCCAGTCTTCGGATTATTTTTATCATTTTTACATTTGGTAACAGGTGAGTAGCTGTATTTGTGGTTATGTTTATATCATTAATAAATTAACATTAGGTGGAGTTTTTACAAAAATATTATTTATAAAAGCAAAATAACATTTATTAACAAAAAAGAACGTTGTATCATACAAAATTTAGTGGTAAGTGATCACAGCAGTTTTGATTTACTGATTTATATAAATTTAATAACCTGTGTATTTGATTCCATGAAAACTTTAAATATTCAGTATTATTTTTGATTTTAGTACAACAAGTATGGGAGAGAGCTCCCACACCTTATGGCAAAAATCGCACAATTACATGGTGTGTAGTAAATAAAGAAGAATTTTATAAATGTACAGTTCTATCTAAAATGCTGCATACTAACATAATAACTGTAGGTTATGATGTTATTAGTTTAAAATGCTCATTGGTAAGTATTTTCTTAAATTCAACATGACAATATGCTTTAACTATAAATTTGTCCAAAGGCTATTAATAAAGAAGAATGCATGGAATGGATAGATCAAGAGAAAGCCACTTTAACTTCCTTGGATGCTGGAGAAGTTTTTGAAGCAGGACGCTTTCACAGTTTAGTGCCAATCAGTCAGGAAGGATATGGCCCTAATAACAAGTGGGATTATTCAGTTGCTGTTATAAAAAAGGGTAGTCTACCTGATGTAGCAAGTATATCTGGTTTAAGAGGCAAAAAAGCATGTTTTGCTGGTGTTGGAAGCTTCTCAGGATGGATTACTCCAGTTTATGTTGTAAGAAAATTATGAAATAAATGATCCTATAGTTAATGTTGAAGACTTTGTTATAAAAAATTTCACAATTCAAAGTGCTTTACAAATTCACTGTCATAAAACCCATTCACACATTCGTAGTTGTTAGTATTTATATCAGAATTATAATAAAAATAGTTTATATTTTGTTGTGTTATAATTCTAATTTCTTTCATAAATTGTTGATTTGTAGCTTCTTAGAGAAGGTGGACTAGAAGTAGTTGACTGCAACAATCATGTGAAGAGTGTAACAAACTTTTTTGGGCCCTCATGTGCTGTAAAAGCTCTCTCAGATAATTACAATCCACTCGGAGACAATTCTGACAAGTTGTGTGTCCTATGTATTGGTAAAGTACCAGGTGAAAGGTGTACAGAAGGAGATCCTTATGCAGGTTATGAAGGAGCTTTCAGATGCTTGGTTGAAAATGGTGAAGTTGCCTTTTTAAAACAGACAACTGTTCTTCAGTTAGCAGACAGTGATGAATATCGTAAGTTTTCTTTTTAACAGAAGTGTAGTTCACTTATGAATCTTACCATATTTTTACTTAAAATATTAAGCAAGTGAAATGCAAAATCAATGGATTTTTTTTAATATTCACAGGGATTGTATTTCTAATTTACTTTTTTAAAATTTTCAGTTAAACACACTTAACAAACTTTAGTATAACAATTTTAAAAGAAAATAATTCGTATTATATGAACTGTTATAATTCTAAAAACAGAAATCATTTAAGAAAAAAATTTCGTGTTATAAACCTAGGAAATGAAAATATTGGAACATATATATTTTCTTTTTTTTTTTCTAATATTTCTCAAAATTTAAGATAATTATCACAACATTTTCTTTCAGTCTTGTTAAATGAAGCAGATGTTTGATGTTTACACAATTCAATATGCTTTCAAAAATATGGTTAAATTATGAATGGGAATTAAACTATGTTAAGTAAACACAATCAGTCTGTTAACATTTTTATCGTCTTTAATTACACTAGCATTGTGTTTGTGATCATCTGTTCATTCTGTTTTACACTTTTAACAGTAAATAAATGAATAAGTCGGTTTATTCTTTATTTATAACAAAAACAAAATTTAAGCAATACATTTTTCTGATTTTATGTTGATCCTTAAATTTATCTTCTTTTGTGCAAAGAAAGAGATATAGAAGTATCGCTAATTATTGTTCTGTATTAAAAACCTCCTTTTAAAGTCTAATATTTTTTGTTTACTTATAGCTGGTCTGAGCAAGAATTCATTTGAACTTCTGTGTCGTGATGGGAGTCGAGCACCTGTTGATAATTTTAAAGAATGTAATTGGGGCAAAGCACCTTCTAACGCCATAGTGACGACTTCTGCCGCTTCTTATGAAGATCGTAAACTTTACCAAAAATTCCTTCAAAAGATCTCTGAAAAATTTACTACTGTAAAACCAACAACGCAACGGGGTTTTACAACAAACAATCAGTATAATCCAAATCAAAACAATCAGTACAGTCCTACTCAAGGCAATCAGTACAATCCTACACAAAACAACCAATACACCCCAAATGCGTTTAATCCGTACTACCCCTACAGTCCGTATAATAGCAGTCAACCACGTTTCAAGCGTCAGTCAGCCAATAACGATGATCCTTACATCGATCCTAGTAATATTAATAGAAACGAATATGGTGTGCGCATTGATCCATATGGTTTACCACCAAAGCGCATTTCATCCTTTGAAGAAACCACCAGCGGTCCTGATGACAGTAACACCACATATGAAAGTTTTGATTTGTTTGGTTCAGAATTATATGGTTCACGTAAAAATCTAATTTTTCAGGTAAGAAAATGACACATCCTTAAAGTTTTTTTTTTATTATTTTTTTATGATTCTGTTATTTAGTTACCTAAAGTTTCTCTAATTAAACATATTCTCATAAACTTTCAAAAAGCATTTAATTTTGTCTCTTTTATTGTTAGGATTATACACGCAACTTTGTATCGCTTTCGGAAAATCAGCAAAGTTATTCCGGTTTTCTGGAAAACTCGTTAAATCTCATTTATGGTGTCCGGAGTTGTCCAGTTGATCATATGACACTTTGCGTCACATCCGATGCAGAATTCGAAAAATGCGTTAAAATGAGAGTAAGTACAAAAAACATAATTACGTAGGAGTAACTATTTTGTAATTAAACAAAAATTTTCAGGTTGCATTAAAAGCTCAACTTGTAAAACCGGAGATGCGTTGTGAAAAGGGACATTCGCAAATTCATTGCATGGAAGCTATAAAATCGGGCGCGGCGGACGTAACTGTTCTAGATGCAAGTGATGTTTATACTGCTGGTCTTAATTATGAATTAGTGCCTTTCATAAGCGAAGTTTACAATTTGGGCGAGCCGTACTATTACGTTGTTGCTGTTGCTAAAGAAGCTGATCCTGATACTGAAATGACCTACTTAAAAGGTAAAATAAATATATTATTATTACTGAATAACTAATAATGAAGACTTTTGTTATTAAACACACACAAGTCAAGTAACCCAAATTAATTATTGCACTTTTTATCATATAAATCTATTATTGTAGAAAGTTTGAAAGTATTAATTTAACATTATTTGTATCGCTGCAATGATTGACTATTTTGCATTATTATTAGGGAAGTATACGTGTCATGGTGGAATTAACACTGCTGCTGGTTGGGTAATACCCCTAGCTTTTCTTATCAGTAATTCTTGGATTCGTCCTTACGGTTGTAATAGCATCCGTGCTGCAGCAGAATATTTTACGAAAAGCTGTGTTCCTGGTGCCTTAAGTACAGAATACAACACAGGAGTGCCTTACGATAATTTATGTGATTTGTGTCACGGTAGCAGTTTCAGGTAAAAGAACACATTTTATGTAATTTATATCTTATTAAAATAAGTTGAAAAATTTTACGAATAGCGGTAAGATACTTGGATTTAGAAATAAACAATAATAATTTAAGGTTTTATGTTTCAGGTACTGCAGAAGAGATGCCTCGGACGATTACTACGGACACACAGGGGCGTTTAGGTGCCTTGTAGAAGGTGGAGGTCATGTTGCCTTTGTCAAACATACAACCGTCATGGAAAACACAGGTGGAAAACGAAAAGAATGGTGGGCTCGAGATGCACTCATGGATGATTTTGAATTACTGTGTCCTGATGGTAACTTTGTCTATTTATAATTATTTATAATATTATTGTTGTATGTAATTATAAAAGCTCATATTTGTTGATAGGAACTCGAGCAGAAGTACAAAATTACGCTACTTGTAATATGGGAAAAGTTAAAGCTAATGCCATTGTGACAAGAGGTGGTTATTCTTATAACGAAACTCAAATCAATGCCTACATCAATCTTTTTGGCTATGCACAGACTTTATATGGTAGAAAGAACGCTGACGAATTCAGGTATATAATTAATAAATCAACTATCGCAAAAACCGTTAAAAAAGTATCTTTAAGAATATCCTATATGTATGTTTGAATGTAATTTGTCAATTTGTTTGGTTAATGATTAAGACGATAGATGTTTTCTTGCTATTAATTTTTTATTATATTGCTCTTTTTTACATTTTATAGTTCCTAAATTTCCATAAGTGATAAAGGGCATTTTTGTTCAGTTTTAGCATGTTTTCATCACCACCACCGTTCAGTGATTTAATTTTTCAAGACGCCACTCAGCAACTGATGATCATTCCTCCAGATCAACGTTATTATTCTGTATATTTGGGTGAAAATTTCATGAAAGCCAGAAGAATTGTCGACTGTTATGCAGCAAGTGTTAGCATACATTCCTCTTTCTTCATCACTTTGCTATCTTCGATTGTTGCCTTATTCCTAAGTAAGGTATAATTTTTTAACATTCCTCTCTTAGAAAAGAAAGTGATTAAAAACTAAGACTAACGATTATAAAGTTTTGGTGAGTATTCAATTCAGTACAACAATTTTTTTATAATTATAAGCAAGTCCATTTATACATTATATTTGTAATATATATTATGCAAGTATACGTGAGCAACTGTAGAATAATTTTTATGACAAGTTATGTGTGAATTATCACACAACATTCTTAATTTANGTCCTAGTTTAGCAAAATCTCTTATGGATGGCATTTTGGCACTGTCAGGAAAGCCTGTGGACTTCGGTATTGTTACAACACCTCAGCTACATTATATTGTAGCTTGTAGAAACTCTCATGAAGAATATGGCACAGCCACAGAAGAGGGGTACTACAAGAAACTAGTGACTGCTTTCAAGAAACTCAGGGGCGAAAACTGTGAAAATGGGAATTACGTCAATCGATTATTTTACGACGGTGCAAATGGAGTAGGTGCTAAAAAGATAAAATTCTTCCAAGAAAGGCTGAAAGATTGTATGAATATTGAACTCTACAATGATGCAGGTATTGGAACTGGTAAACTAAATTATTTGGTGAGTTTTCAAAATCCTTTTTTTTTGCTAAATACTGTAGATTTTTTAAAAATAAATATAAATCTGTTAAACTGTAACAAATTAAGCAATGCTTTTCGTCATGTTTTAATGTATATGTAACTACAGCAGTAGAGGTTCCCGATGCCTCCTCACTCGATGATTTTATCCAAAATTTCCTTGTATTTGCAGTTGTATGGGCAATGCTAATTAATTTCTTCCATATTAAACGAGCTGAAGAACCAAAATCTATTATACTTGTTGTAAAGCATCATTAAACAGAATTGTGTTAGAAATTACCAGGGTGCACTTTCAAATATAAAGCGTTTTTATTTTTAAATTAATTTAGTCGGTATTAATCAAGCTGAAGGTCCTAAAATGTACTAAAGATGTTGCGAAACGTCAATAAAAAGGATTTTGTTGTTAAAAATTGCCAGGGTAAACTTTTAAGAATGTTTTTAATTTTTAACAAATTAATTCCCACTAAACAAACTAAAAAACCAAAATGCATTAAAGTTGTAGTGAGGCATCAGGGAATAGTATCAGCGTTAGTATAGTAACAAATTACCGGGTACATTTTTAAACCCCATTTTAAAAATCTTTTTATCTTTTGATCAATTAATTTCGTCATTAACATTAGTAATCTAGCTCAAAATCCCAAAGTGTATTATGGTTGTTATGAGTGAAATGAATTTTAATGTTGTGTAAAAAAAGATAACATAATTTTATCATACACAATCAATCCTGTGACTCAAAATAAAATAATTATTAACATACACGTATTGTTATTACAGCAGAAATTTTGAAAACAAAATTAAAATTCAGCAATACAACAATGTTGATTGTGCATGATATAAAGAAATATAGTTGCATGTATCACTTTGGAAAATCCAAAATTATTAAGAAAAAAAAAATACAAGACGTTTTAAATTTTGTTTTCGAATATTAAAGAAAAGAAACATTTCCAAGATATGCAACTCCGCATGCAGAGATATACACCTGGTTGCATACTATCGAAAAGTTCTAAGACCTGTATTTAAAATTCAGGAAAATTTGGCAAAATATTTGGTATCATCCTATTTTTGTATCGTATTGAAATAAATTCTATTATTATGCACTAACTAATTTGTTATACTTGTATAGGTTTTAAAAACTTTAAAACAATAAAAAAAAAACAAGACGAAATACCTAGGTAAGTAGATATATAAAATAAAATTATTTTCGGAATCCTTACGCCGAAACGTTTTGTGTGAATCAATTAATTGTAAGAGTGAAAGCCAATTTAAGATAATTGAATTGTAATGGGCTTGTCTGAGTTTCTTTTATTAGTCATTCCCATACCACTTTACCACTTATTAGCTTATTATATGCTTATTACACTCCTCACCCTTTCACCAGTGCCATATGCTGCCATAAATCTCACCAAAATGCCAAGTTCATACAGGACAGTATATGCTTTTGCAAGAGAAATGCACCCCAAGACTGTTAAAAGAGATATACAATATGGGACAGCCGGATTTCGAGACAAGTAAGCTCAATTATATACTTCTTTGTACTTATTCTTAAAAGTGAGGTTAAGAACACTGCAGCAAAATATGTGAATAATATTAAAATGAAAAATATATTATATTAAACCATGTCAAATAGGAATTTCGTTGATTGCTTTATAATTTTTCAGAGCTTCCAATTTAGGCTATGTTATGTACAGAATGGGATTATTGTCTGTTCTTCGTGCAAGATATAAGA